CAAAACCCTTAATAATAATTAAATCCCTAATTTTTAGGTTTGTGGAATCGAGCCCTGGACCTAGTTCTTCAGCTTGCGTGCTTTTGCCTACCCAAGTTCTATGTGGGTTTTGAAAAATTGTCTATGCTTCAAATGTTATTACTGTTATAATTGTTTTGCTTGTGGTATGATCAAAGTATGCATGTGGAACATGTAGCCTCCGATGTGAGCTGTATCGGCCGTCGAACGGTTATCCCCGTAGCTATAGAACGTACCCGATGGGTAGTCTCCTTTATTATTGTTGGCAGTCAGGGCGTAAGCCTTGGCTGGTGATCCCCGTGTAAGGCCAAGGGCCATCGGGGTGGATTTACTCCTACTGGCCGAGCACTCGATGTGAGGCCAAGGGCCATTCGATATATAGCCGGCAGTAGTCTATTGATATAGGTGTGCACATGAGAGTGATTATTGAGTATTGATTATTGATTATTGATGGGAGATTGGATAGTTTATTGTTTCGTATACATGCTGAGACCATACTTTTGATTATTGATTACTGTTTCATTATTGCAAATAACATTTACTGCATAGTGTTGAGCACTACTGTTCCTCTTGTGCTCATCCCCACCTGCTCTTCATTGATGCAGGTTAGTATTGCGGGCACGACAGAGGGAGGCGAGTGGTGGTCTATAGTTGAATGTTGCTTCCGCCTATTGAATTGTCTTATGATATTATTCGTTTTGGAATAATGAATATTGGATTATTTAGATTTGAATTATTGTTAAAGTGATTCTCCTTATTTCTTTTGAGGATTTATGATTGTTTAAAGGAAGAATGATGATTGATGATTGAGAATTGCGATTAATGTTGATTATTGGAAATCGCTTTTGAAAATGAGTAACGCCTCAATTAGTAATGAAATAAATTTTGAAAAATTTATTCTGAATTTCGTCTATTAAAAGTGGGGCGTTACAAGCATGCTGCTCATTGACTAGCGGTATGCGATGATCGAACTCCCGGTGGGGTGGTAGTCCCTTAGGTTCGCCCAGTACTCCCTCAAACTGCTCGAGAATCTCGCGCACATCTCCTTGTTGCTGCTCGTCCTTGCCCACGTGCGCCCCAGTGTTCTCGACTACTACTGCAAAAATTTGGTCGCCACTTAGACAAACTCTTTCAATGCTCTTCAGTCCAACTTCCTTAGTAACCTTCTCTCCTCCAGCCTTGAGAGTGACTCTCTTTCCTCCAGATCTGAACTCCATGACTCCGGTGCGGTAGTTCGTGGCCACTCTTCCTAACCCTTCTAGCCATTGTACTCCTAGGACCACGTCCGGTCCAACCAAGGGTAGGGCAAAAAGATCGGCTTCCGCAATAACACCTTGGAACTTGATGGGTACCTTTCGAAAGGACTCGATGCATTGTAGCCTCTCACCGTTGGCTACTCGAACTTCAAAGGGTTCAATCTTCGTGGTTGGAAAATTCAACTTCTGGGACAAGTCAGCCTTGATGAAGTTGTGTGATGACCCGTTGTCTACGAGTACGATCACTCGTCGGTCCTTGACCCAAGCTGGTAGCCTCATCGTCCTTGGCCCTCTGATCCCAGCCATTGCATGCATCAAGATTTCAGCCTCCTCATCGAGTGCTTCAATGTCGTCCACCGACTCCAGTTCTTCCTCGACTTCAGCCTCTTCATCGTCGGAGTTGGTGACCTCTATAACAAAGGCTTGCTTGCATCGATGCCCTGGCATGAATTTTTCCTCGCACTTGAAACAAAGACCTTTCTCGCGTCGGCGTTTGATCTCCTCAGGTGTGAGTTGCTTGACTATCGACCCCGGTGGTCGAGCGTTATTGGTCGGTCGTGCGCCCACGGTTGCTTGAGTTGGCCCTGCGCGACGTGTATCGGTGAAGCGGGCCGCCCGTCCCCTTTGCGTGGCAGCTAGGTGATCTTCGCGCCGTCGGGGAACCTCCATGGCAGCGTGCATGGTCTCTGGTAATTCCAGACGTACCTCAGCCGCAAGATCATACTTCAGACCGCCTATGAATTCTCCTACCAATGCTGTTTCGGGCCAACCCTGTACTCGACATGCTAAACGCTCAAATTCCTTCAGATAATCATGTAAATTACTTGTTTGAGTTATACGAGTCAGTGCCTCATCATAGTTGTGGTAGTCATATGTACCAAAGCGTGTGAGTAACTCTCGCTCAAAATCGTCCCATGTGATGACTCACTGTCGGTTGCGGTAGACGCTTGTGAGCCACTGCCACCACACGTTGGCTTCACCATCAAGATAATATGTTACGTACCTTACTCAATCATGGCCATCGGTTTCGTTGAGCTCGAAGTACTGCACAGCACGATTGAGCCAAGCCTCGGTGTTGGATCCGTTGAAAGTTGAAAGCACGATCCTCGACTTGTCAGGTTTTGATCGATCTCGGTAGTTAGACGCCTCAGACCGTTGATCGTAATCGTCCTCTCGCTCGAACTCGCCGCGTTGCCTTTCTCCTTCCTGCGCTCGAGCGCGCGTCGATCCTCGCACCTTGGTGATGGCGAGCGTTCATCGCGCCCTGGCCATCATAGTTGAAGCCCGCGCAAGATCTCGTCCAGCCGCTACTCGAGTCGTGCTACGGCAACGTTCGTGTTGCCTTGGCCCTCGTCGAGCAATCCGAGTCGTCCCTCCATGGCTTCGCTCATGCTTCGCACTTGGATGTTAAGATTATCGATCTTGTCCTTCATCTCCTTGTTGGCCATTGCTTTCTTCTCTTGCCTTCGCTCTTTACTTTGTGGACTCGTCTTGAGGATGATGATATTTTTATTTTTATTTTTTGATAAGGGGGGACGAAATAAATAAGAAGAAAAAGAAAGGGAATGGGGTAGAAAAAAAAACACACGATCTAACACCTCTCAATGAAAGCACCAATGATGAAGATCGCGTGTTCCGATTGTCGATAAGCCACGAATCCGCGCCTTGAATCGCCGATAGGTGTTTCTCTAGCCACAGCCGCGCCTATTGAAACGAATAAAATTGCAATAGAGATCTAAAAGAAATCTAAGACAAAGTGTTTGAACAGAAGTTTGGATTTTTATTGATAAACTGAATGATGAAAAATAACATGGGGAAGGGGCCTTTATATAGGCACAAAATATATCTAGACCTAATCTACCTAGGGAACTAATAAAGCAATAAAATATTAGAAAAAACCTAATTAAGCTAGAAATCATAAAGGTAGAAGGAAACTAAATATATTGGCTGGCACACCAAGTAATCTCTCTCTCATTTCTTCTGCCGCTTCACGCATCGCCTGCGCGCCTTCCTCCAGACTTTCGCGCGTGCTCCGTCATCAGTTGTGTTGCGCACGCTAG